CCGGTTAGGGCAAGCAGGTTTGCTGCAGTAGATGTGAGTATTCCTGAAGAGTGGGTGACTGGCTGGCAGTCAGGGTCAGCTGTAGCTCTATGTGGGAGCTGTCTTCTGGTTACCTAAGTGTCCTTGCTGCCACTGACATTTTTCTAAAAGAAGTAAAGTGGTTGAATTCCTGGCAAACATAAGGGCTTCCTGCTTGGCCCAGTTACACAACCTGGTATCTGGTATAAGGTCTCCTTGGAGGTCTAAGAATGAAAGCACTCAGGGTGGGATTGTCTTCCAGGCTTTTGTTTCCTCATCTTTAAGCACATTGACAGCAACATCCATCTTCACAGACAAGGAAATGGTACAGTAAAGCTGCAGTGGCTTCACATTGCCCTGCTGTCTCTTTTGTGGCCCTGAGAGGCACTGGCAGACAGCATTGCCTTCACTACTCAGGTGAACTTTCCCAATTTTCAGGTACCCCCTCGTCACTCCAGTGGCGGCCTGGAGGCCGGAGCAGCCAGGTCACTTCAAGGGTGTGCCTGATGCTCTAGGAGGAGTCTGCGAAAATTTTTTTCTGCCATGTGCATTAAGGGACAGGAGGCCTTTTTTTTCTTTTGAGAATTTAAAAGGTTATAAAGGTGATGTACAGAGGTGTTAGTTACAGACTCAGGTAATGAGTACATTTCTTATTGTACAGTGTCACCTTTTTTCTCCTGGTTTTTCCTACTTGTCTTCACCCACAAGTTCATTTTCAACCTAGTGTCTAGTGTGTATCACTACTGCATTTGTTCACCCTTTGTCCCTCTTATTTCTGTGCCCACACAGGGGACCTTTTTATGTAAAGAGGAAATTTCTCAAGTATTACATTTAGTAAGTTCAATGGAGAAAATCTAAGATGGAAAAGTTTTAAGAGGTAATAAGAAAAAGGCAGAATGGTAGAAGAGCGGCCCAAGCAGCTTCCTTTCTGGAATGAACTCCAGAAAGAGAACAAGAGTGAAATGGAGAGTCATGAACATACTCCAGAGGGGCTCCTACATTGAATGGGCCTGGCCAAGACATGGAAAGTGCATTCTGCTTTAAGATCTCTGTACTCAAGAATACAGAAGCCGGGCTGGGAAGGTGGCTCAGTGGTAGAGTGCTTGCCTTGCATGCATGAGGCCCTGGGTTTGATTGCTCAGCACCACATAAGCAAAAAGAAAAAAACCGGAAGTGACACTGTGGCTCAAGTGGTAGAGTGCTAGCCTTGAGCTGAAGAGCTGAGGGACAGCGCCCAGGCCCAGAGTTCAGGCCCCATGACCGGACCAAAAAAAAAAAATACAGAAGCCAAGTACTGGTGGCTCACATGTAATCCTAGCTCTTCAGGAGGCTGATACCTGGGGCAAGCAAGTCCATGAGATCTAGGCTGCCAGCAAAAAGCTGGAAATGGGGATATAGCTCATGTGGTACTTAGCAGGGAGGAGGGGAGTGAAGAAAGGGGTAGCACTCAGGGCCCCGAGTTCTAAGCCCCAGTATCAACATTTCTTATTGTACAATGTCACCTCTTTTCTGATGATCATAGGAACTGAGAGAAAATGCCACAAGCAAAGACAAGGTAATGACCCTTACATGCTACAGGGAGGTTATTCCCAGTCCAGTTTTCATACCCTGCCAAACTCAAAGGACATGGTTCTCAATACCTTTGTGCCCTTTCAGAGGTGTGTTAGAAGGCACACCCCACAAAACAGCAAATCAAAAAGCACACTTGGGAAAAGAGGCGCTTCAATAGATAAACTTACCTCCAGTCTCAAGGTAAAGGTAAGCGAGGGAGGCCATGGCAGGCTGTGTGTACAGTGACAGTGACTGGACAGCTCCAGAACTGCAGTTACTGATTGAACAACTGGCTTTGAGTTCCTGAGAAGCAAGCAACTGCAAATGACCACATGAGGCTTAGTGTGGGTGGCAAGGGCAGTGTGCATGTTTTGGTGTGATGTGTTTCCAGGGTATGGCAAATATACATTGGTTTGTGAGGTGATCTCTGCAGTGAGTGGTCTGTCAGGTATGTGGTGTGGTGTACATGGTATAATATAATGTTTGCTTTGATGTGTGTGCCATGTAGTTTGGTATATGTGATGTCTGTGGTGAATTGTGTGGTATTTGGTGTTTATAACATGGTGAAACAATGCACATGATCCTACTTAAGTGACAGGACACAGCAAGCAGTTGCAGACCTAGGGCAGTGATGTAGTACCATTGTGTAGTAGCTGAGCAGTAGCAGGAAAGTTTGTGGCCTGAAGGCTGTTTTAAGAAACACAAATTTATCTGGTATGTAATGGGACAGACTTGTATTCTGCTTATCCACTGTCTGTGCTCATCTACGTGTGTTTTTTATAACCTCATAACATAAATGGTGTTAGGGATATACAAATGGCCCTTGGCAGGAAAAAATAAGCGCTCCTCTTCTGACAGGCTGATGCCCCTTGCCAGAGCAAGGTAGGCACCGGAGGCAGAGGGGTACTGTGTGCTTTCTTGGTGCCTGGCAATGCCCAACTTCCTAGCCCCAGGCTTAGACCACGACGTCAGAGGCCATCGCCTTGTCCTTTCAGCTGCCATGCTAGGGCAGATCTACAGTCCCAGAAAGCTACCTGCCCTGGGTGCCATCTGTCGTCACGACCGTTTATACCGTACTCTGTCGTACTCTCCTGCAGTTGCCTCAACAGCATGGGGCATTGCCCTCCAGGTGGACATACTCCAGCCCCTATAGGGAAAGCCTTTCCTGGACTACTGAGTACAGGGAGATGTGCAGATCCTGCATGGGAGCAGGATCATCTCAACCGGCGTCCAGTCAGCCCTTCCTGGAGGTGAAGGAGGATTATAGCAGAGCCATGAGGACCAGGAAACAGAAAAGTTTATGTACAGATTTGTCTGCTGGTCTTGGAGCTTCAAATCGGGGCCTGGATAATGTACCTGAGCTGCTTTTGCTCAAGGCTAGTGTTCTACCACTTGAGCCACACACTACTTCCAGCTGTTTGGGTAATTTATGGGAGATAAGAGTCAGACTTTCCTGCCCAGGCTGGCTTTGAACAATGATCTTCAGATCTAACCTTTCTGAGTAGCTAGGATTACAGGTGTGAGCCACAGGGCCCAGCCTATGTCTCTCTCAAAATCTTCATGGCCTAAGAGTGACTCGGCTGTGCTGATAATCAGACAGCCCCTGGTTACTTAGAGAAAATTATCACAAAAATGGCTGCTTTGGGCCAATCAGCCCAGGTCAAGACTCCACAATCCCTGGACTTGGCGCAACCCATGCTGGGGAAGGAAAAAGGTAGATTAGGAAAGGTGCCCAGGGCCACCACACCAGAGATATCATACAGGTAACTAATGGTCTGCCCAAGTCAATGTGCCTTCTCATTTATTCAGGTCCTTTCCCGATGTATAGGATTCAAAATAGAAAAAAAAGCAAGTCTAACAAAACATGTTTCCAACAAAATAACCACAACATGTTGAACATGAGGCTGTGATACAGACACACAAGCCCAGCTTTTTACACTTAGCCATGGAATGAAATCTACTTTTAACTCGTGTTACAGACTGAGTGCATGAAAACCATACTATCCAATTACATCTTTAGTGAAAGTCACAGAAGTCATTTGTTGGTGGTGGTGTTTGTTTTTGTCAGTTATGGGGCTTGAACTCTGGGCCTGAGTGCTGTCACTCAGCTCTTCAGCTCAAAGCTAGCACTCTACCACTCAAGCCAAGCGCCACTTCGTTTTCTGGGAGTTAATTGGAGATGAGTCTCATGGGGACTTTCCTGCCTGGGCTGGCTTTGAACCACAATCCTCAGATCTCAGCCTCCTGAGTAGCTACAATTACAGGCATTAGCCACCAGCGGGGCTACAGAAGTCATTTGGGATGGTAGCCTTGAGTATCAGGATGCTGTGGTCATGTCTGTAGCCAGTGGCCCCATCCACACAGGCCTATTTTTGTGGGTGGACTGTTCTAAGGCCAAGGGGAATCCCATTGGCAGTGTGACAGGGAGGACATAGAGATAGATATACAGACAAAAGTTTGCAAAAGTTCCCTCTATCTGGACTGGAGGTTCTGAGAAGCAGCCAAGACCAAATCTGGGGGGATTGAACCACCTTCCCTCATTCAAAACCTGCCTACTGGATGTAGGACAGTTGTCAAGATTCATAGGACATGGATATAGGACAGTAATCTTCAAGAGAGCCACAGAAGCAAGGAAGCAAAAGTAGAAAATAAAAACTGTCTGGAACTTGCTTAGAACATACGGCAAGGTTCAGTGCACAATGATGAGACTGGGCTACTGAGTAGGTTTGACACAAAACTTGCTCCACAGATCCAGGAACCTCAATTCACACTTGGCATCGAATAGCTTTTCTCTGGTGGAGAGCTCACTGGACCTCTATGAGTCTGGTCAGTCAGTGGAGGCATTGCTGGTGATGGTGTCCAGGGCTGGCTCTGACTGCTCTCCATTCTGCTGGGAGAAGCTCATGAACTTCACCAACTCATTTATACTGTGCTCTAGGTCAGAAAAATTCAACTGGGCTCCTTCCTAAGTAGCAGGGCTAAGCAGAATTTGAAGCACTGTCTGAGCAAGTAGCCTTTATGCAAACATAGGCCAAGAAGATGAAGATGAAGGAGATCATAGGGAACCAGTGGTCACTTGAGATACACTGTCATCTCTGAGTAGGGCATACTGTGGTGTTGACAATCTTTCAAAGGTGTGGGTGTGTGTGGGGGTGCTGAATGGCTAATTATTTTTGTTGGTCATGAGTCTTGAACTCTGGGCCTGGGCACTGTCTCTCAACTCTTCAAGGCTATTGCTCTACCACTTGAGCCACAGCACCACTTCCGGTTTTTCTGGTAGTTTATTGGAGATAAGAGTTTCAGGACTTTTTTCCTGCCTGGGCTGGCATTGAACCCTGATCCTCAGATCTCAGCCTCCTGAGTCACTAGTGAATGGCTAATATTGAGGAAAAGACATCTAGGTGGATGTCACTGATGCTTTGTGGATTATTCTATATTTTGTAGCAGTCAGGGTTTGGGTCATGCTTCACTTCCAGGAAATAGCTCTTCAGCATGCGGGAGACTGTAGTGTTGCCAATCTTCTCCACTGACAGGCAGCTGTACACCCCGCTGTCTCTCTCAGTCAGGTTGAAGATGATCAGGTTTTTCCTTTTCTCAAAAACATACTTGGGTCTCTTAGGGTTCATTGTCTCATTGTAGAACTTCCACAGTATTTGGGCCTTGTTGGACTTTGCATCGCATGTTAAGTATGCTGTACAATGCTGTTTGTAAGTATTCTTCTGATAATTTTCTATAATTTCAGCTAGAACATAATGTGCACAGCATCAACAATAGGGATATTAGCTACTTTCAAAAACAGAATAATGCCCACAGATCACACAGAAATATTCAAGATGGAACTTCAGGAGCACTAAGACAAAGACATACCTGACCAAAAAGTAAGATGAGACCCAGCCAGCAACCCTTAGGGACAAGGAAACCAGAGCAGCAGAGATCTCATCTCCACTCTGTGTCCCAGGAGAAAGCTCATCAGGTCAGGGAGGCCAAGCTCTACCAAGTTGTGCATCTGGTGGCCCAGAAAAGGCTTATATTGCATGTCAGTCTTCCCCCTTCTTTTCCATTTCTCCTCACCAGAAGACAGCTGTCTGGTCAGAAAGGGGAGGAAGACTGGGACAGAAAATCCTGGCCTCATTCAATCCCTGCCTCTGGTTACCAGTAGGCTGCCAAGGGTAGGTGGAAAATTAGGGACCTTGTCTGAGGTGCTTGGGACCAGATGTGTCTTGGATTTCAAATCTATTCAGATTTTGAAATATTTGTATATGTCTCATTAGGTGATCAGAAATGATTTATGTTTCAAGTGGATCTAATGTACATAAGCCTAGAGGTAAATGCATACAATATTTTAAATAATTTTGTCCATGAAATCTATATTTGCAATATGGGATTTGGCCCTTGTGTTATCACACTGGCATTCAAAATGCTACAGACTCAGTATATGACTTGACACATAACTTTTGCTCAAGCAGGGGAAAATGCACACACACACACACACACACACACACACACACACACACACACACACACACACACACACACACACACACACACCTCAGAGAAAAATACTATGAAGTGGTTGATTGGCCTAGCTGTTCCTGAGGGGATGGTATAACAGGGAGAACTCACGTGGGCATGAAGACACATCACCACTCATGTCCTGAATGCAGGTCCTGCAAGAGAAAGGACACCCATCACTTCCTGCTCACTCAGCGCTGCTCGCCCACAGTACCAGTGCATACCTCCTGGTGCAGTTCAGAGCCTCAGAGAGAGCCACACAGGCATGCTCAGAGGGGCTCCAGGCGCAGTAGGGGTCCCGCGCCAGCACACACTCCCCACAGCTGCTGTGCTTCCGACAGAAGGCCAGAGGGACCTGGACCACTCCTGAGTTGGAGCTGGCATAGACAAACTTGATGTTCTGTGTGTTCTGAGGGGTTTCGAGATTCTCCAGCAGCTGTGGGAACATGGTAAGAATGACCTTGAGCTGCATGAAGGGAGAAAAGCCTCTCTAAATCAAAACCATCCAGTTGGAATACAGAGGGCTAAGACCACTGTCCATTACAGCTTGTGTGAAAGTCAAGGCAGTGTGTTGAGTTCAGGAGGACAAGGCTAACTGGGCCTTTGCCAGTCCCATTTCTTTGCGCCTGTTTCAGGAGCAGGCTGTTCATCTAAGTGTCCTTGCTTGTGGAGGGGATTCCTTTTCCGACCTCCCAGGATGTCCTCCCAGTCTCCCTGCAGGTGAGACATCACCACAGCCAGAGTCCAAACAGCACAGTCTCTAAGCAGGTGCATCCTGGCACATATGACAGAATGCACCAACACAATTCCCAAGACAGGGCACTGTATCACTGAAGCCTGAATCCAGCACCAGGTGTGAAGACATTCTTAAGCACTTGCAAAGAATTAGCAGAAGGTTGGTAATCCAAGCCAACGGGAAACAGCACCTGTGGCTTTCCACTCATCTGTTTCTGTGAGGAGGAAATCAGCTGCCATGCTCCTGTGTGGACTTACTCAGAGCCAAGCACTTCTTAGACTTCCAACTTCTGGGACTGTGGCTTGGTATGATAGCAACTCCAAGTCAAGTCCAGCTGCTGTCCTGGTGGCAGCACAGTGTCCATAGGCTATCAGGACTCTTGGTTATATCTAAGAAACCATCTCTTGGTCTGGGAATTCTGTTTCACATTAGTAACCTAGAAACCCTCTAAGATCAGAGATTCCTAAGGGTATGCACTAGTTTTAGTCAGATGAAACACATCTTCACCCTGAGAGGCTACATTCAACATGGATCTAGCACCTGGTTGTGACTCACCGTCGTTGTTGCAATCCAAGTCTCACAGGCCAGAAGTTTGTAAACACCCAGTGCTATAGATCCACTTGAGCAAGTCCAGATGCACAAGGGAAAAAGGCTCTGCTCTTCCAAGGGTGAAAACTGCTTGGAAGCAAACAGCAGATGAGGCCTGGGCCAGCTTCAACCTGGGCAAGTGTAGTGTGGTCATGTGCTCATCAGAGAAGAGGACTTTCGAATGACCTTCTCCAGATTAGTCTGGAGAATTACTTGACTGAAATGTGAAATACTCGAGGGAGGATACTGAGCTGGATCCTGCTGGGATGCCCGAGGCAGTGTGGACAATGCTGTAGAGTAGGAGTGGTGGCCTTAGGCAGGTTGAAGGGTACTCCTGCCTGATCTAATAGTCCAGTGAGAGGCAGATGGTTGCTATGGGGAGGGAGAGTTCATCTCTCTGCTTTCCACTCTATAGTATGCTCTGTCCTGTTCTCAGTAATGCCAGAGAGGTCCTAGCAAGGCATCAGCTCCAGGAAGATGGCACTCAGAAGGACCAATGTGAATGTCCACCCCTGCCTCATGCTGTTCTGGCACATGCAGAAACCTGAGGTTTCCACCACAGAGAAATTGCTCTGGGCCAGAGAACTTGCCTGTCCCACAAAGTAGCAGGATATTAACCCACAAAAATCAATAGCCTTTCTGTATGCCAAAAATGTGTAAGTAAGAGGGAAATCTGGAAAAGAACTCCATTTGCAATGGCCTCCCCATACAAAAATACCTGGGGATAAATCTAACCAAAGATGCACAAGATTTTTATAGCAAAAACTATAAAAATTTGAAGAAAGAAATCAAAGATGACATCAAGAAATGGAAAGAACTTCCATGTTTGTGGATAGGAAGAAGTAATGTGAAAAAGGCCAAACTGCTAAAAATGATAAATAGAACACAATCCCTAGTAAAATCCTGATGACATTCTTTACCAAGACAAAGAAGACAGTAAAAAAATTCATATTGAACAATAAAAGACCTTGAATAGCCCAAACCGTTCTAGGCAAAAAAGCAGTATGAGTGGTATCACAATCCCAGACCTCAAGCTCTACTTCAGAGCTTTAATAACAAAAACCGCAGCTGGATGCCTGTGACTCACACCTGTAATCCTAGCTACTCAGAAGGCTGAGATCTGAGGATGGCAGAACAAAGAAAACCAGAAGTGGCAATGTGGCTCAAGTGGTAGAGCACTAGCCTTGAGCTGAAGAGCTGAGGGACAGCACTCAGGCCCAGAATTCAAGCCCCATGACTGAGAAAAAAGCAAGCCAAAACCAGTGTGGTATTGAAACACAAAGGTGAATGGATTAGAAGACCCAGAAATATACAGTTACCTGGTATTTTATAAGGGAGCCAAATATATACAGTGAAAAAAAGTCTCATTTCTTCAATAATTGGTGTTGGAAAAACTGGATATCCATATGCAAACAACTAAAAGTGGATCCCTGTTTGTCACTATGCACCAATATCAACTCAAAGTGGATCAAAGACCTCAACATCAGACCTGAAACTTTGAAATTACTGCAAGAGAGTAGAAAAAACACAAACTCAGAGGTACAGGTAGAAACTTTAAAAACAGTTCTGGGGGCACAGCAGAAAGGTGAGAGAGTTGGTAAGTGGTACTACATCAAATTAAAAAGTTTTTTCACATGTAAAGACATAGTTATCAAACTACATCAGACAATGACCTAATATCGAACATATACAAGGAGCTAATGAAACTAACACCTTCCAAAGCTAATGAATCAGACACCAAATGGGCAAAGGAGTTAAGTACAGAATTCCCAGAAGAATGGCAAAGAAACAGGAGGAAATGCTCATTGTCCCTGGCCATTAAGGAAATGCAAATCTAAACACCCATGAGATACCATCTCACACCAGTTAGAATGGCCAACATTGTGAATTTGAACAACAAAAGTTGGCAAGGATGTGGAGAAAAAGGAATTCTACGGCACTGTTGGTGGGAATGTGAACTAATAAAACCACTCTGGACAGCAGTCTGGAGGTTCCTCAAAAAACTAAACATAGATCTTGCCTATGACTCAGCCATACCACTCCTGAGCATCTACTCAGAATATGACAAGCCAGGATACCATAAAGATACTTACACATCCATGTTCATTGCCACACTATTTACAATAGCCAAGACATGTATTGAAACAGCTCAGATGCCCTACAACAGATTGATGGATCCAAAAACTGTGGTACCTATACACAATGGAATTTTACACAGCCGTGATAGAGAATGAAACAATGTCATTTGCAGGGACATGGATGGACCTAGAACAAATCATGTTAAGTGAGGTAATCCAAGCTCAGAAAGACAAATGGCACGTGTTTTCTCTCATATGCAGAAGTTATATATAAAATACACTGGGATATGATAAGTTACACAGGACTGTAGACTCAGTGAGACCAAAAGAGGATGTTCTTAGGGGAGAAACCTACAGGTGCAATCTCTATATCCCCCCTTCTCTCTCTATACACACACACAAACTCCATATATGGAAACAAGATTTCTTTTGTTGTTACATTTTCTTTTTCTCCTGTATGGTTTATTCATGTGTCTATCTTTGAGGGGGTCACATAACTTAAGGGAAAAATGGTGAAAAAGTACAGCAGTGCAGCAGTGGTGCTCACAGGACACTGTTGAAAGTAAACTATACAATTGCTGGTGAAGACAAGAGGGAGGGACAGAGTTCGAGGGAAGGGGTGACAAGTATATGAAAGGAAATGTACTCATTTCCTGACTTACGTAACTATAATTCTTCTGTATGTCATCTTTATACTAATAATATATTAAACAAAAAGAACTTGGAGTCCCAGAGCCAGGATTTGAAATAAGGTATATTCAAAAGCTATATGGCGGGCCGGGGAGGTGGCTCAGTGGTAGAGTGCTTGCCTTGCATGCATGAGGCCCTGGGTTTGATTCCTCAGCACCACATAAACAAAAAGAAAAAAGCCGGAAGTGGCGCTGTGGCTCAAGTGGTAGAGCGCTAGCCTTGAGCTGAAGAGCTGAGGGATAGCGCCCAGGACCCGAGTTCAGGCCCCACGACTGACAAAAAACAACAACATCAAAAGCCATATGGCAAGAGCGAGCACTGAACATAAGAAGCATGGTCCACATTATAAGTACGACCAAGCTCAGTATAGAACTGCCACCTGATGCTCTCAGGAAGCACCAACAAGCAGAGGGAAGGATCTTGATCTAATAGGCATGTGACAGGCAGGGCCTCTGTCCCATACCCTCTCCTGGTGAGACAGGTAAGCTCACAGGTTCTTCCTGGATTCTGAACCTCCCAAGACTCCTGTAACAACAACTCAGTGAGGAGGTTCTTTACCCACATGGTACAGTGTAGGACAGAGGGACAGAGAACGCACTTGGCCTGGCCAGGATCTCACAACACATACATAGTAATCAGAATCTGGACTCATGTACGTGCTTCTCAATACTCCACACAAGCTGTGACACTGAGTGGCACCACTTCCCACAGTATGTGACATGTGACTGGATGTCAGACTATAGCAAGTAGACCAAACCTAGCCATCCCTGCAGGCTAGCAGTTTCTATACAGCCTTTCAGCTAAATGATTATACCTATACACACATACATATATGTGTATTTCTGTAAAAATGATTTCTGAGCTAGCAAAGTTTAGGGCATGCTAAGCTTGGTGGTTACAGTCAGGCTTGCTACTTTATGAATTGTCTATGGCTAACTGGACCTATAGCATGGCTGAGCACCTGGGCCTAAGCATACAGCATCCAAACCTCTAAGACCACATTGAAGGACCAGGCTAAGAAATTCTTGTGGCCTCTGGTTGGGGAGCAAGTGCAGTGTTGAGATAGCAAGCTGTAGAGTACAGGGAACAAACATTTTTTTCTTACAAGTTTCTATCCTGAAAAGTCTCTGCACAACCTGACATGTCACCAACACAGTCTCCAATCTCACAGATGAAGGCACAGGAATGTATTTTCATGAGGATGGAATACATGGCATCTACCATGTATACTAATGACTCATTGAAGTTCCATCTCCACAGCTCTGAGTGTGCACTTGCCAACCTTGAAATCCTACATCCCTTGAGGGGCTTTGTGTGCATGTCCAAGGCCAGCTCATCTGGACTAGACAGCCCAGGACAGCCAAGCTCAGGAAGGCCCAGCTAACGTGACAGAATCTCAGAGCCACCCAGCAGGGCAGCCCTCCAGACCTGCTTCCCGGACAACTTTACCTTCTTTGAGGACAGCAAGAGGTTTTGGACTGGCTCAGAGTTCCTGAAAAGTTGTGTTTCCTCAATGATGTGCATGCCCTTCTCCAGTTGGACAGCTTTGTGCAGGGTGCCCCGTGCTGCAAGGTCAAATCCATAGGTCACTAAGAAAGCCCCAGAAGGACACACCAAACACACTGGTATCAGAGCAAATACTCCTTCTGCACTCTCGCATCCCTCACTCACTGAGATGCTGAGACTAAGAGGACAATGTTGCATTAGGAATGAAGAAGAAAGCCTTTGGCAAAGAAACCATTGCACATTCGGGTGACAAGCTACTCTGATTTTCTTATGAAGTAGAAGTCCTATCTCATGGTTGATCCTACCAACCTTCATCAACAGAGTCTGCACTGAGAGAGTGGATGGTAGATTTCATGTGAGTTGGATCTTGGGATCCACTGGCTCTTCAGGGACTCAACTACACAGAGACCTCAAGAGGGTGAGAAAGCAGAGCAGAAGGAAGGTGGACATTTCCAGTGATGGGCTTGGTGCCTCCAGCTGCTGTGACTGCCAGCCACTGCTTCCATCCCACAAACTGATCCTGGATGCACTGCTGAGGGGAGGTGTGCCCCTCACAGCTCAGGACCCATCTCAGCTTGGCTCCTCCCAGGTTGTGGGGACAAAGCCTCCCAAAAGCACTTAGGAAATGCCAGGCTGATCAGTGTTTACAACTACCACTGATACAGGCATGACCTCTGTTGTTGAACAACAGGACTTCTTTGCAATAGCTCAACCCTGCTTCTTTGTAAGCATCCCAGGCACTGATGATCTCCTGCATCTGGAAGGCCAGCTGGGGAAATATCTCAGAAATCCTTTCCCACTACCACAAACCCCTTGAGTCACCTCAAGGCAGATGCTTTGTGATCTAAGTAGGGGATTTTAAGGAACCTCCCAGTCCTCTTACTCAAGGACATGTGTACTGTGTCTGTGAAGCCCTCAGAACACACCTGTGCCGATAAACATGACATCATAGAAGTTCTTGTCCAGGGCCAGGGTCCTGTCCACCACGATCTGGGTGTAGTTCACATCTTTTGTTACTAATATGGGTCTGTTGCCTATTGGAGTTACTGACTCTTCTATCAAAGGGTGGTCTCTGACGAACAGCAGTGTTTTGTCTGGTAAATCCAAAGAGCTGTTGTAGTTGGCTGCCCGTGTCTCACTGTTGATGCACTATGAGGACAACATTTTTTCCAGTTATTGTGCCTGACCAAGCTCAAAGTCAGCAATCAGGTCAAGTGCAGCATTGCAGAACCTACACTGAATGTCTCCACAGGGTGATAGCAAGAGAAAGCCTCTCCATTGTAGTCAGAGGAAACAGTGTTACACTCTTAAAGCATGATCGCAAGATATAACTGGTTTTTTTTTAATCCCAAAATGGGAGGAATTATGTATCAATGAAAACTATGAAAATTTTCAAATGGAAAACACTTATATGATGGAAACATACCAACTATGCATTGCTGAAAAACCGGTTCTAAATAACATAAAATATGAAAGTCAAGAAGGATTTTTGGTACCAGATTCATCATATGCAAATGCCAAAATTCATGAGCACAAAATAGTGTATTTCACTCTACCCAAGGAAGAATGATGGTTGTATGAAGTCCAGGCTCAGGTCTAGAGGAACTACAAGGACCAGTCCAGCCCAGAGAACCACACAATCACCTATTTACTACATATGTAATAGTGAATTGGTAGCCAAATTGTGCAGATCTCTGTAGGAAACTGAAAATGAACGAGTCCCAACTGTCCTATGCAATTATGTATTATGGGAAATTAAAGAAACAGCATGTCAGTACCACAGCTGATTAATAACAGTATGGTGAAAACCATTACACAGCACATAGAAAAGAGAAGAGCTAAGCTCAGTGTTTGGGACCTCAGGCCCACAGAACATCCCACCTTGTACAGAGAGGAGTGTATAATCAGTTGAACCACTTGCAGTGAAGCTCAGCCACTGAGCCTTGAACTTTGAACCAGAAGAGCATACCTCCCTGCAGCCTCTGTCCCACTCACCATTCCAGGCCGAGGTGTGGGCACCTCACCATGGTAAATAACCCACTTGGGGTAGGAATCCACACGGAATTTCTGCAGGTACTTTCCACGAGAGAATACTGCCTCCACCGTGGACAGGGCATAGGTGCAGACTGCAGACAGACCCACATTGTTCCTGTGGAGCGAGCACAGGCCAGTTACGTGCCTGCAGTGCAGCAGGCTAGAGGGAAGCACTCCTTCCCACAGAGGGCACTTACAGTTGGGGCATAAAGAGTGCATAGATAACAGGTTCCTTGGCTCTTAGGTGGCGTAGTACAAAGGCATCTTTCAATATGTTGAAGATCAGGCCTCTGTCTGGCTGGGAGCAGAGTAGCTTGGCCTTCAGGAAGGATGTCCACTTATTCTGCAAGATTTTCTGGCCACCTTGGTCATCCTAAAACCCAAGAGACAGGATATTACAGGGAATCTAGGAGACCCCACAAAAAGTCCAGGTGACAGATACAGTGCCCACCTGTTTTCTCAGGTGGCTCAAATCTGACTTCACGCAGTACAAAGAAAAAGCAAACCCCCCAAAATCCTGTCTCTGAAGACTCATTTCATGACAACCATGTTTACAGTTCTTTAGTGCATTCTGGAGTTCTGGCTCTGAAAAGGCAGGGTCTTTTGTGAAATGACAATAAAGTTGAAAGTGAAAATGTGAAAATGTCAAGAAAAGTGGAAGGGCCACACAGTGGTAGGCAATCTCCAATACTGAACTCCATCTTGGGTGAATACATCTATGCCTGTATTTCCATTCTACCTGCTGAAGTATGGCTAAAGGGCTTTGGAACTACTAGGTTCTTTCTTGAACACTGTTTAATGTGCTGATCAGTGAGAGACAACTGTGAAGCTTATACGACTTGTGACTTGCAGAGAACACAGATGACCCCCTACCATATCCATCATTTTCTTCCCAGGTTCAGGTTTTCTATTTAATGCTTTCTTGATATTATAAAGGTGATGTATAAAGGTGTTATAGTTATATAAGTCAGGTAGATAGAACATTTCTTTTTGGACCATGCCAGTTTCAGTTTCTGTGTTCAGTCTTTTTACTACATGAATTTTATTAGACTATATCATTATCATTGTTCAAGGCATCATTGGTTATTATTACTAACCTTTTATTGTGCCTAATTTACACGTTAAAGTTTCTCAAATATATGTTTAGGAAAGAAAGCATATATGGGTTTTGGTAGCTTATGTGTTTTTAGGAACCCACTGGGGATCTAGGAACAAACAATGTATTCACTAGTAGGGACACACTGAACTGAACCTGGGAAATGTGCAAAAAAGAAGAACAGGACATGGAAAAGCTTATTTTATTTTATTTTATTTTTTGCCAGTTTTGAACTCAAGGCCAGGGCACTGTCCCTGAGCTGCTTTTGCCAAGACTATTGCTATGCCATTTGAGCCACAGAACCACTTCTGGCTTTTTTTGTGTATGTGGTACTGAGGAATGGAATCCAGGGCTTCATGCCTGCGAGGCAAGCACTCTACCACTGAGCTACCTTCCCAGCCTGCTTCATTTATTTTAGACATAATGATTTTATATCTCTATTTGAAATCCTAGGACAAGTGATGAATTTCCTAAGAGAATTTTATTCTCTTTCTGATGATTAGCAGGGGAATTTTCCAGCAGGTCTGTGGCCATTTGTCTCATGGACTTTCAATTCCTGAGGGGCAGTGCAAAGGTCTGTGCTCACAGGGTGGCAGGGTCTGGGGCTTGTGCTCATACTGGCCTCAGTCTATCATTGGAGGTAAGTTCAGGACAAGAAATGGACTCTTAGAGGACAACAGATCCACCTCCGAACAGACTTGTTGAGACCAGAGGCTTATGTTTGGGTTAGGGTTAGAGGAGGCAGGATCCTGCTCCTGGATATTCCTGTGTTTGGCTTCTGTGTTCTGACAGCCACAAGCTGCAGGGGAGGAGGAGAATGAGAGCTCTTGGCCCCTCCTGCCAGTGCTGTTTTTGGGGCTCTTTGCCCCAAGAACTCCTGTGGGGAGTTCTGGCCTTACGGTGCTCACCCACCACACACAGCACATCAACTTTATTATACTATATGGCCCTACTGCTCTATCATTAGTTAATACCACTAATATCATTCTATGACTAATTTATACATGACTCTTGCCACAGGCACATATGTGGGATAAAAATGCATTAATGGTATTGACCTGACCTCAGTCCTGCAGGATGAGGAATGAGGTACTAACGGTGAGTGACACCTGTGGAACTGAGTGAGCAAGCTGTGGGTAGAGGTCTTGGCAGCTGCTAAGGTGTAAGCCAGACAAGTCTAGTATGCACCACAGCTACATCCTGCCCTGCATATTATGCTGCTAAGGAAGAGGCATCCAGAGTAGCCAGTCTGTGCCATGTTGGCATGAGATCCTTCCTTCTGTGGTAAAATGATCCATGGTGATCGCCACATCAAAGGGCCCTGTGGCATTCAAGCTTCTAAAGGCGTTCATGGGGGGACAAGATCTGGTGACTAACTTTAGTGATTGTGTTTTCCCTGGGTTCCAATGCTCTATCTGAGACCTGTTAGTCTACTTGCCCCAAATGTCAGTCTAGCCACTAACTGAACCCAAGGCAATTCTCTGTGCTACCTAAGCACCTGCATGTAATAGCATCCTCAACTCTGCCCCTCCACACACTGTAGGCTTTGAGACAGACAGACATTTTACTGCAGATTTCACTTTTTACACTTAAGGTATCAATTCACTCTCATGTGACTGAGAGCTTCAAACAATGAGATTCAAAATCTCACAGAATCTGGTGAGTACACTCAGCAAAACTGACTTCTCCTAACTGGGGAGGTCTGAGGACAATGCCGAGAACAGAACCACAGCTGCTCAGTTGCATGATGAGTGAGAATGGCACTTTAGTGCCCACAGACACAGCGGAGCTCCCAAGAACAGAGGCCTCTCAGAAGAGGCTGCTGTGGCAGGTAGGGATAGGGTGGCAGGAAAAGGTGCATTTCCAGGCCTGCTCCCACTCCCACAGGCTGGAAAAGCCAAGGCTAGCAGAGTAGCACTCACCACGCACACTCTTGCAATGCGGGGGACCTGTAAGTTGAGAAGAAAGTCATACTCCACAGACAATTCAGTGAAGAAGAAGTACACCTTGTCACCATCATCCTTGTTGTCGAAAGGGCTATTTCTTATCACATCAGCATGGACAAAGTTAGGCTCTGTAGAGAGATGACACAAGATCGACCCTGCACATGGAGGTTTGTGTTCCTGCCTGCTCCCCATGGTGTCACAGGCAGTCACTGCAGTTTTGGGATTCCCTGCAAGGACTTCTGGAATGTGTGTGTCACACTGCAAAGAGACTTCAGGGTTGGGACTGATGATAGTGCTTAGCTTGACCAAACCTGTCTCATTCTCCTCAGCCCCACAGAATTGGCCCTGGCTGTGGCCTTGCAGAACAGTTCTCCCAAGCTCCACCCACAAGCTTTCTGGAGCCTTTCAGCTGGCAGACAGACCATCTTCTGATTTAAACAAGTGACTTGATCCAATTAGCCCCAGCCACATATGCATATGCTCGGCTGGCCTACTCCAATGAGTAGGTGGCTGTCCCTGCATATAGCCATCAGGACCAGTCCAGAGATCAAGAGCCTTCAAAAAGCTCTGGGTCCCACTTGCCAGCATCCCCAACAAAAGCCTAGCTAAAAGTTTCCCGTTATCTACCCATAATTTCAGATATCACGAGGTGTTGGATGCAGGTGATGAGGCACCCTGACACTACCTAACTGCTGCATCTTTCATGTCATGCCCAAATGATACCACATCCCAAAAAGATGTTAGTTCTCTACTTCCAATTTCAGTATCACTTTATGAAAGTCTCTGAGGTCTATTCTCAGGGCAGGAGATACAGTCAGCTTTCAGTGTTACCTTAGCAGAAAGCAAACCAAAAGTAATACCCTCGATTCAAATGGGGGCCCTAGCAGTTCTTGTGGCTCCACTGGACTGAAGCCAGTGAGAATTCAGGACTCTCACTGCACAGACACAGCCAGATGGGAAGTATAATAGTGCATTCTCTTCAGATTATAGACTTTATATCTTACCATGTAGCCATGGGATGTCAGACTCTGTTTGCAGATGACTGTAGAAATAGTTTCTGGAGATTATGAACTGGCTTCCCAAAAAATTGTATGTTGTCCCAGCATAAAGCTCTCCATCTGCACAGGTCCAGGAACAGGGAGAACAGAGGAACAGGATATCAGATGAGCCCTTTGCTCTGGCACTGAGAATGAAGTGTGTGTGTGTGCGTGTGTGTGCGTGTGCGTGCGTGCGTGCATGCGTGCATGCGTGCATGTGTGTGTGTGTGTGTTTTCTGGTATTGGGTCTTGAACTAGGATCTGTGCCCTTTCACTTCACTTTTTTGCTTCAGATGGGCACTCTACACCTTTAGCCACAGCTCCCCTTTCAGCTTCCTGTGGTTTGTTAGAGATAAGAGTCTCATGGACTTTCCTATTTAGGCTGGCTTTGAACTGGCTTTGATTCTTAGAGCTCAGCCGCCCTAGTAGCTATCATTACTCTCATGATCCACAGTACCTGGCTGAGATCAGTTTTTTTGTAACCACATTAGGCCTCATATAGAAGAGATAAAATTTCCCTATACATTTCTAGACTTCTAGGATGCCATATCCACTTTGTCCATTGATGACTTTTCTTTTACAAGGGACAATCTCAGGTGCCACACTGAGCTGCATTTTTTGAGTCAAAGAGTAGTAATGGAACCAAATGAGAACTTCCTACAGCCTGTAAAATGATAGTGACACAGATGCTCCTCCATTCACCATGTATTTTACCCTCATAAACCACACTTAAGAGCCAGGCGCTGATTGCTCACGCCTGTAATCCTAGCTACACAGGAGGCTGAGATCTGAGGATCATGGTTCAAAGCCAGCCCAGGCAGGAAAGTCCGTGAGACTTATCTCCAATAAGCCACTAACCAGAAATGGTGCTATGGCTCAAGCGGTAGAGTGCTTGCCTTGCGCTGAAGAGCGCAGGGACAGTGCCCAAGCCCAGAGTTCAAGCCCCATGACAGACCAAAAAATAAAAAAAAGCACCGAAGGCACTTTCTTTTTAACGCAAACTGTTGACCTCACCTGCTATAAATGTGCTTAGAAACATTAGCGTGCAGGAAGGCAGAATCACCTCACCCAAAGCTTCTTTTGTTATACTCATATGTGATGTACTATACACTGCACTGAAGGTGAAGACTGAATGGGTACTATGTGTAACACATCATCACAGAGTGGAAAAAACGTAAATGGAATCACTGGACTCTGGAACTAGCAGGGGATAGCCATAAGACCATTAGCTGAAGAATTGTTAGACTATCACAAAACATGGGCTCTGTGCCTCAACTCTCTCTCAAAAGGAATATCTGAACACTGTGTACCAATGATGGATATGCTATAATGTTGGTTGCTTGTTATTCCATTCAATGGTGAAATTCAAAACTCTTTTGTGCTGAGGGGGCCTGTGAAAAGGAACATACTTCTTCTGCGAGGGCAAGTGATGTTAGGGCAATTCCAGGAATGAGAGATTAATGAAAGGAAGTGAGCAGTTCTGAGTAGGAACAGAATACTTGGATATAAGCAAAGGGGCTGAAGGAACCAGAGCAGCAGAACTCACCTACCATGGTAGATGTATAAGTGTGTGTAGGGTCAAAGGGACATTTTCCTCTGCCATCTTTCTTTATCCACAAAAAGTCAAAGGCTGTTAAGTTCTACATTAAATAAAGAAAAAAAGGCATCATAAGACATCTGATTTTTCCATGATAACAGTGTGTCTGTGTATAATTCAAATTTACAAATTCCTTGTTCTAGAAAGACCAATGGAGTTGAGAAAATGGGTGCTGGACCACATGAGCCCTGCCCTTGGAGACATGCTGTATGCCAGAAAGCTCAGTCTCCACACCAGCACCTCAGGCCTTGGCTGAGCTATGCAGGATCTCAAACCTCAGTCTCCTCATCTGAGAAGCTGGTGGCTCTAGGGTTGTTAGAAAGGCCAGTAAGAACCAAATACAGGCCATGTTCAGCAAGTGACCATAGGATGCAGTATTTTACTATAATAACACGCAGAGAATCACATTATCCAATAATCAGGTAACAGACTTTTTCTTTGGTTAAATAAAACAAAAATAAAAAGAATAGGAATTCTTGCAACCTTGATAACATGCCAAATGGATCTATGGTCTCAAAAACTCAAAGTAATTCCAAGCTGTATTGAAAGAAAGGAGAGGCCAGGACTTCAACCAAGGAATAATTTCTTTACCTGACAGCAAAATCCCAACTGTGGAGTAATTTCTCTACCTGACAGTAAACTCCAACCTGAATAAGGAATAAAGTAGGCAGAGCCAACTACAAAAGCAATTGGAAATTTATCAAACATGGAAAAGTAAAAACAACGGAAATTACAGGAGAAGCTCGGGGAAACGCCCCAGAAATGACATACAAGGATTTCTCTTTCTTGAAAATTACTCGATCAGTAAAATGTTTCTAGAAAACTATTCTCTCTTTGTCTCTCTCTCTTTCTCTCTCTCTGTCTCTGTCTCTTTCTCTTTCTCTCTCTATCTCTGTCTCTCTCTCTCTTTTGCTCTTAAGCAAAAAGAAGTATCTGTCTTTATATCTCAGAAACGCCTTCTTCAGTGCACATCAACTTTCAGTTCCAGCAGCAGAGGGCACCAAGGGCCATATAGTACTACTCAGTGAATCTTATTGCAAGCACCAGGTTTCCTAAGAGAATTTCTTTATTTTCTCATGGGAAACAGGGTCTCGCTATGTAGCCCAGGTTGGCTCTGAACTCGATTCTTTTGCCCCAACTCTGGACTACTAGGACTACAAGCCTGGGCCACCACAATTAGCCATTCTAATTAACCATTAAAACTTATCAAGGAGTCCATACTTCATTGTGTCACTTCTCTTACTCAAGGTTAGACTGGAGTTTGCTTTTCTTTTTTGTTTTCTGTGCTGGAGATCAAACCCAGTGTCTCTTATATGTTAGCCAAGTGAGCTCTCTCAGATCCAAAGCTGGGATGCTGTTTTAAATTCAATCAATTGAAACAGTGACACACAAAGCTATGTTCCAATAACTTTCTCCCTAGCCAGCTTCACATCCCATGGGTTCAGTTACCTACACCAACCAAGAGGTCTGAGTAGTAAGATGACCTTCTGCAATCCAGCTATGCTTGCACAGGACGTAAATCTGTATGCCTCTGCTGTGTGTGCTATCTGCTCATTAGCCATCTTACTCATTAGCTACTCAGTGGAGGGTTTGGTACTACCTGAAGCTCAGCTAAGGTATGGGGGGACACTGCAGAAACTTATTATTATTTTTTTTTTGGGTCCGGTCGTGGGGCCTGAAGTCTGGGCCTGGGCGCTGTCCCTCAGCTCTTCAGCTCAAGGCTAGCACTCTACCACTTGAGCCACAGTGCCACTTCCGGCTTTTTTCTTTTTGCTTATGTGGTGCTGAGGAATCGAACCCAGGGCCTCATGCATGCAAGGCAAGCGCTCTACCACTGAGCCACCTTCCCAGGCCCATGCAGAAACTTATTAAATCCAGGGATGGTCACTAGAAAATATGTTTCATTTTCAACTCTACCATGCATCTATATACAAAGAAATGCTCCTTCGCTTTCTGCAGGTGGTCACTGTCAAGTAACCCATCTGGTAATCTGAATAAAAAATCTTTTCTAAAAAACTTAAACACCACGCTCTGAGTTTCACCCTCTCTAGTTTTTTATGGTGAAAAGAAGGCTCCTCCACAGCAGCACACAGCAGTAGGATAGGATTCCAGTTGGAGCAGTCCAGATGTAACTCAGGAAAGGACAGGAGGTGCCCATGCTCCTCAGATCACTTACAATGGGTGGTGCTAGGAGGGTCATGCAGTGTGGTCAGTGTCCCACCAACAGCTGACAATGAATGGTGACATCTTGAGACTCAGCAATGCTCTGATCAAGCACACATACCACCCAAGACCTGGACCTTCATCCTGTGATCCTGAGCCAACCACAGCCAGAACATGAAGATCCCAGCAGTAGAGGGCAGCTGTCAGCAGTATACTTCCTAGAATATCTCTTCACCAGGGCCAAGGATCACTGGGCCCTGAGCCCTGCCTTGAACCATATCCTATGTGAGAAACACCAAAGTTCAGATTAGCCATGTAGGCTGCATGCTCATTCTACAACCTGGGGAGGCTTTCTGGAGAGGCCTAGAGTTGCCTCAGCCCTCACACTGTGACCTGAGACAATCCTAGTAATCTTGAGGTAGAGTTTGCTTTATGTCTTCCTAGCTGGTCACCCTGCTTTAACCACTGCGTGGGCTGCTGTGAGCAGGAATGATCATGGAGTAAGTCTGTGTACTCACCAGGAACTGACACAGGGGCTTGAACGCATTTGTCCCACACACGTAAAGGAAGGTTGAGGTAAACTGATGAAGCACCCGAACATAGTTGAGGCATTCTGTCTGTAGGGAGAGAAACACCATCAACAGGCAGCCACTGAAGTACCCTCCATGTCCACATATGAAATCTGTCCTGTGCTGCCCTGCCTTTCCTTCTGACTTCACATGATAGCCAGCCGGTTCCCACAGCATAGTTTTGTCCTTTTATCTTTGTCATGATCAGAAGCTTTTCAGGTGCCAGGCCAATTTCACTTCAGTCCCTAATTGATACTTGGCAAACACCTGGTGGCCAAACAAACCAGTTTTACTGTTGACCCCAAATTATATTAAGGATAACTGTAGAAAGAAATTTATTTTTCTCTCATAAACACACAAACCATTTCTTCAGTTGGCAGAGTTCCCAAAGCATATGCTGCACAGCAGCCCTCTGCCTCCCATGTGGTACTGCTCTCTGTAGGCACACACTCAGACGGGAAATAACTTTTCTTCCAGTTCTAGTCTCACCTGAAGGGGATGCTGGGCACTGAGGGGTGTCACCAACTGTCATCCAGCAATAAGGCCCTAGCAGGAAACTAAGGCCCCACAGAAGAACCAGTATGTTATTTTAGGGTGGACAGTACTTGCATTGTATGTGCTACAGTCAGAATTTATCTAAATAGTGAAGATTTTTGTCTGTGAGTGTTTTGAAACTGGTGGGGTGTTGCTCACAATCACCCAAGGGGCAGGGAGGGGCTCCAGACCACCCTCTGTCTCTGAGCAGGGAAGGCAGAGCCAGTGGCCTGTTCCCTCTGCTTTAAAGATCCTGTGTGATTCCAAAAGTGCCTGCTGTCCTCTTGCTTTCTCAGGGAACACTGCATTTAGAGAGAACTGCTTTAGGAAAAGTGGTTAACACACTCCTAAATATGTTTAAAAAAATGTGTTTTTTAAAAAATATTTCATTTTCAGCTAAGCAACAACAGTTGGACTTTGCTATAATTCAGCTGTTATAAGCAATGACCATCAATGACTGAGCTCCAAAATTGGAAACCTAGACATCTGCAAGTACCAGGCAGGGACAGGTTGGTGGAGTAGATGGAGAAGGTGACCCGGTATTCCTAAGGAAGGGGACAAACCAGCAGTATCTGAATGTCACCATGCCGAGAGCCCTGCAGTATGCAGGGAGCACACTGAACACTAAACAGCTTTTCTACAGTTAAAAATCCAAGGAGTTTGAAGAAATCCAATTCATGATGTAGAAAACATTTTTTGAATGCATCCTGTGTCTGGTACCTATTGTGAATGGGTCTCCACTAGACAGGAGCAGAAGGAATTAGTTTCCCAGGCTCTGTGATGACCTCACAGAACCCAACAGTAGCATATAATCCCACACCACACCACACTTAATTGTATGCAGAAGATGCAGAACCGGTGAGATTAGACAACTAAGGAATACACGTGGTGTCTGTAATTGACAAAAGCACTTACCTCTTTTGATCTGCCTTTTTCTATGCACTCTGCTTTTGTCTCATCTGAGGCCTTCCAGTATACCTATTAGGGAGGAATGAATGAAAGCTAAACTGTGGGTTAAAAGTGCAGAGCTTAAAAGCACATAGAGTTCAGAGGCCAGATGCTTCTGAAATGAGGTAAAACCCCAGATTTGGGAGGATGGCTGGGGAGCCATTTGGAGCCTTCCTAAATATTCTGATTATTGCCTTGATAGAAACTAGTGGACTGTAGGAGGCTCTCACAACTGTCTGGTTCACTATGAAAGAATGCAGAAACTAAAGTATTCAAAGTGGGGAAAATTATCTTGTAAAAAACAAAATACTAGCTGGGTCCTAGTGGCTCACTTCTGAAATCCTAGTTACTCAGGAGGCTAAGATCCAAGGATCATGGTTCAAAGCCAGCCTAGACAGAAAGTCCCTGAGACACTTATCTCTAATTAGCCACCAGAAAACTGGAAGTGGTACTGTGGCTCAAAGTGGTAGAGCAATAGCCTTGAGTAAAAGAACACCCAGGCCCTGAGTTCAGGCCCCACAAAAAACTGAAAAACAGCAAAAAAAGATAACCCCCCCCCCCAACACACACCCTAACATTTGAAATTCACCCAGTAGCCCATCCATAGATGAATAAAGAAAACATGGTGTATCTACACAATAGAGTAAGAAAACAGAGAGAATGGAATTCTGTTATTTGCAACAAAATGGATAGAAACAAGGGAAGGGACACCATGGTAAATTAAATAAGGCACACAGACACAGACAGGATCTAGTGCGTCCTGTTCTCTTTCATGTGTGGAAGTGAAAAATAGCCCCGATTCCTGGAGGGTATAAAGTGTGACTGGCTGGAAATGCCTGGATCTGAGCAGTGCATATTTATGTATGTGTGGAATGTTAACTTGGACAAGTAATACATGCTAAGGAAAGAGTGACTTTGAAGTCTAGTTGCAAAACAAGAAGGAGAAGGAGGAGAAAAAGGAAGAGGAGGAAGAGGAGAAGTAGGAGGAGGAGAAGGAAGAGGAGGAGACCGGAAGCTAAAGGCTACCTCTTTCAGGGGTGGCAGAATTAGGGTTCCTTACAGGTGTGTGGGCAGGGGCTGATGGTGAAAGCATTAGGAGTACTGTCAGCTCAGCACCTTTCTTAGGAGGATTCAGGTTGCTGGGTCTCCTGAATGGAATTGGTATAGGGTTAGTGTAAGGTTCAGCAAAAGGAGACTGCCACATGGTTTAGGCAGAAAAGAGTTTATTGAGGGGCGGGGAGGGCATACTGTGCAAGCATGCAGGAAGGGAAAGGGGAGGAGGGGAGAGGGGAAAAGGGAAAAGGGGCAAGGCTGCAAGGGGGCAAGAGGTGGGACTAATGATGAAGATTGACTATATATGGAGAGGGCAGGGAGATGTGGCCGCAGGAAGAGTGGGCACAGGATGACCTCGGAGTGTGGGGGAACCTCCCACTGCCCTCAGGTGCGCCATTACCTGGGCTATGGTAGGTGCTGGATGGGGACTTCTAGGGAAAGGGCCACATGGGTAATGGAGGGAGAATAAGGGAAGGAGCTGTTTTGTTTTGTTTTGTTTTCCTGGGCAGACCTAAAAGGAGCTTTTGGTGTGGAGCCCGCTCTCCAAAGCTACCACAGGGCTGAAAGCTGCACAGGGCAAATGGTGAATCGCAAGGCCCTAGACTCATGCCTTACTTTCCCAAAATAACCAGCACCCCTTCCTGGGTGATGGGTGGAAACTGATAAAAGATAATAAGAGGAATTATTCAAGACTCCAAGGCTTGCACAGGTGAGGGGCTCAGCAGTTAGAAAGCACACAGACCTTCTTGGAAGAGGGGAGCCCAGGTGAGGGGTCTTTCTGAACTAATGCAGTGTGTTCTCCTACGAGCAGACAGCCACACAGGGTGGCAACACTGCACTGGACATCTAACTGGGACACACAAACGGCTGAACAAGATCCCACTTGCCTGCAAATTTCCCTCAGAAGGTAAAAGGCAGCTGAGTTTTCTCATCCACCTGAACCCTTAAGGATGGAGGCATAAATGGTAACTGGTACTGAACCATATTCCCAGGCTTTTCACTAAGAAAGGCTACCAGGCAGAACCCTGGGCTGAGGACCAGGAGAATATAGCTCAGAGTCACACAGAGGAAGGGCTGAATGTGAGATGGGCCTGCAGCACCATTCTGTTTGGTGACTTCTGAGGTAAATACTATTTGCACCGGATAAGGCTCTGAAAGTCACTGATGTGTCAAACACAAATTAGGAATCAAGCAGATGCTGGGGATGAAGACAGAGCAGAGCTGTAGAGATGGGGACAGCAGATGCTCACCAGCAGCTTGGAACAGCCTGGGTCAGAGAGTAAGGAAACAACCCCAGGATACCTGGTGGCAGGGGCCTGGCCAAAGCCTGCCACCATATCCCAGCCTGCCACTGAGCATCAAATAAGTCCTGGAGTTGGGGCACAGCTCAGTGGTGGGTATTTGCTCAGCTTGCATGAGGTCCATTTCCATGACCAAAACTACAAAGGGGAACAAAATAGGGCTAATCTGCAAGGGCTGGGGGCAAAGGAAATGTGTTCAAAAATCAAACCATTTAGTAGGGCACTGGTGTGGCTCACTCTGTAACCCTAGGTACTAAAGGGGCTGAGATTTGAAGAACATGGTTCAAAGTTAGCCTGGGCGTGAAAGTTTGTGAGATTCTATCTCTACTACACTAATAAAGGGAAAAAAAGAAAAGCCAGAAGCAGTGCTGTGGCTTCAGTGGTAGATTGCTGTCCTTGAGCACAAAATGCTCAGAGATAGTGCCTAGGCCCTGAGTTCAAGGCCCAGGATCTCTCTGTCTCTGTCTCCCTGTCTCTGTCTCTGTCTCCGTCTCTCTCTCTCTCTCTCTCTCTCTCTCTCTCTCTCACACACACACACACATACACCAGACCATTGAAAACTCACTCTTGCCCTCTGCGTAGAAGTCATAAACCCCTTGTTCTGAAAACTGGCATGCAAAGGCAAGCCTCCAGCATCTGTCCCCACTTTCCCCATGCACTGGAACTCAGGGACTAAACTGCTGGTAGAAGTACTCTGCTTATACAGGACTTGTGGCTGCCAATTAAAGAGAGAAGGCAGAAGTGAAAAAAAAATACTTGTGATTTTGGTGAAAAGCACATTTTGGCCTTGTTGCTGTGGACTAGGAGGGGGCAGTCTGTGTATAGGGGAGGCCTGGCTCTCTAGACTCCCTGCTCCCAGCAAGCACTGGTCTCACCCAGGTCAGCCCCAGAGCCAAATGCGAGAAGACAAGAGGCCCACATCAGACATTATTAGGATACAAGGAGAGATGTCAAGGTTAAGACACAGCAAAGTGCAGAATGGCTTTCTCAGAAAGGAAACTGAGTTCAGTCCAAGAAACAGCTCAACTAGAATGAATAGCTGCAGTCAGCCTAGGGGGCTTCATGGGGACAAGTTGATTTCACGTGGATTCAAACTAAATCATAAAACAAACAAAAGCTAAGAGGTTTTCTTCTTCTTCTTTTTGCTGTTTTTTCTTTTCTTTTTGTTATGTTTGTTCATTTATATAACTTTGAGAGTATAACAAGAGGGACAGAAATGGAGGGATAAAGGGTCAGCAAATGCAGCAATGAATGGTACTCTCTGGACACTATGTAGAAATTGAACTATACAATCTGTGGGTGGGGATTGGAGGGGGAAACTTGGGGGAGAGTCCAAAAAATATATTCTTTACCTGGCCTATGAAATTGTAACCCCTCTGTACATCATCTTTATAATAACAGTTAAAAACTTAAAAAAAAAACCCAAAAGAAAGGTATTTGTGATCAATTTGAACACCATTTGATTACTAGTTGATAACATGAACTTTTTGGATCCTCCCCACCCCCCTCCCCCTTATTTGGACAGCCAAGAATTAAGGACTGCACAGATGAAGGTCAGGAAGGATTTTCCCCTTAAGGACAACAGGTACAAAGTAAAATCAAGGCCTGGCCTATGGACCCATAGGAGTGTAGTGGTAATCACATGTTTTGGTCATGGGCATGGTAGAAACTTATTCAAAATGAAAAATTCAAAGGAAAAGGTGAAAAGAAATGGGCCCTCGGCAGGCTGTCTGTGGATATCCTGAGATGGACTACATAAAGAGAAGGTACAATGTGGGTTATGAGACCAAGAGAGCTTGTATACTCTAGCATGGCTGCACCCCACCCAAAGTATAGTATGCCCATCACCTACCTCCAGCTGCTTCTGGGAGATGTTGAGTGCATTCAGTGCAAAGATGGCCTCCTGGGCGCCCACATACAATATGTCCTTGTACTTGTTCAGCAGCAGCTCTGAGTAGTTGGATATGCCTGGCTCATGAAACTGCATCAGTTCTACTTCTGAGGGAGAAAGGGGAACTAGCAGAGTCAGGGAAGGAAAGACAGACCCAAGATGGCATTTTTAATCTTGGACAGATCTTGAGTACTGCATATGCTGTTGGCTGAGGGCTGGGGACACAGGCTTTCCTGCTACAGAGACAGAACAAGAGCCTTGGAAAGCAGGGCTGCAATATTCACATGTGCATGAGTGCCTTTCACTTATCCAGGTTCTTCCACTAGTGATTGTGACTCAAGGCTGTGCATCTGGCTACCCTCTTGTCTCTGTCAAATTCTAAAACCCCTATTATGTGATCTCCCAGGAGATCCCAGGCCAGACATCTTCACCTGCCCACCCACCTCATTGATGTGTCTCAATCATCCACTGATTGGTATGCAAAGAACAAAACAATTTAGAATTTAAAGAAGTCTTGAGACAGTTGCCGCTCTCATCTGAATGCCAAGTTTCATGCTTGTGATATGAAATGATTGTTGGTGTTTCACTCTGGCCTCAAGGATGTGATTCCCGTGCCCCTAGCTCCCAAGAGAAAAGATTAGAGATGTGGACACCAGCCTAAATAAGCATTATATTTTTTAACAAGTTGTTTCATCTTTTAGCAGCCCAGGCATCAGTTTGAGAAATATTTTGTTGGCTTTTTTGACAAGTGTCCTTTTGTTTGAAAAAACCAGGAGTTTAAGAAGCATCTCAAGCTCTTTATGACATGTTATTTCTCATAGTTTTCTCTGTCTGCAAGGCCACTTATAACCTGTGTCATACGCATCCAAGAAGCTTGACTCTGAATACCTGTTTTACAATGCTGGGATTAATTTGAACAAAGTGGTCTCTCTATGACCGAATCATCTGTTTTAAAATTCTTTTCATTAAGCAACGGACCCCTGAGAATATATATATATATATATATATATATATATATATATATATATATACAGAATATATATATACTAAAATTTCCAATACTTGATATTTGTGCTGTACAAAACCACACAAATTGGGAAGGTCCAGGTAAGAAGACTTGCTCTAATTTTATATATAGTGAAGAAAGAGGTCCACACAAAGCACAGAGCACACGTTTTGGCTCTGAACATATCAGCCTGGAAACAGAAGCAGTCCCATGCTGAGCACCTAGTACTTATATTCTCCATCCCTTCAACCAGAATCCTAGATCCTAAGACACAGGTTCTGGGGGAGGAGATAATCACAGCTGAGACCAGAGAGCAGCAAATACATGTCACAGACACAAGGCCTGACACTCAGCTAAGGAGCTCTCACTCCAGTCTTCCACAGTGTGCAGGGCAGGAGCTTGACCCAGGAAGGACCCGAGTCTCACAGAGTCCAAGAAAGAAGGTTCCTTCAGGGATCCCTTAGTCAGGCCCTTGAGCAAGCCTTGAGGAATATTGCCACTTACCAAAGCATCTCTCTGCTCAGCAGCACGGGTTCTCTGCTTACACAAAATGAGTGTGTCAAGAGCTGGGTGGGGAGCCATTCATGCCAGTGTCCCCTTATGTCCTGTCCCCTCCCTGTGCCACTAAACCCACACAGCACTAGCTCTCACCTCCAAGCTCCCAGGTCATCCGGGGTATGGATACAAATGCCACCACCGTCCCAAATTCCACCACTAATGCCAGAAGCAGCCCTCTGATGGGGCCACACATTCTTTTGGGGTAGAGGTCCACATGTGGTGTGTCTTCAGCAGGCAGGCTCATGGGAGGAGGAGGAGGAAGCTGCAGGAGTTGTGCAAGTGCAGATGATACACACAGCAGTCGTGCTCAGAGCTGGCAAGCAGTAGGCTCCCCAAGAACCAGATATCTCTGGCTAGGTAAGAAGTGGCCTCTCTCTCCTCCTGGGTTTTGAAGACCCCTGTTGCTTCCTTGTGGCCTGCAGAAGAAACACTGGAAGAGGGAAAGGCAAAATCAAGTGTCAGGATGTTAGGGCACACACTGCTCTGGCTTCTCAGCATCCCCTCTCTTCTCTGCCACGGTCCATCTCCTGAGGCATACAAATTGCCAGATGGAACATATGAACGAAGACAGAGGACAATGCCAGAGTCACAGGACTCAGGACTCATTCCCACTTCCACCTGGCCAGCTAACACTTCAGGTCATTGCAGTTCAGACTCAGAGACGGGCCTGATGCAGGCTGTGGAGGCACTGCTTAGATAGAAGTCACCAGGCAAGGATCTTCTTCTTTCCTACAGGGGGCATCATGTGGCTGGTAACCAAACGCACACAGAAGGCCTGGAGGCTGTGTTTGTTGCTCACAGAGCCCTAAGCTTCCCACTTCCTGTAATGTTAATCCATGTGGAACTGGCAAGAGAGACCAGAGAAACACAGACCTGAAGTACACACATGCACCTGGACAGATTACAGCAATGTACACAAACCCATGTAACACGTATGAATGTTATGTACATACCTAAACATTTACACTGTGTGAGAAAACAGACCACTCTAGGTGACACTTATAGATCTTCAGCCTCACCAAGAAACGGTGGCGCTCAGCTCTCATGAACCAAAATCAAACAGCACCAGGGCCACATTACAAGTCTAAATTACAAGTCTAAATCTCCTGAAATACAGTAATGATGTGGGAATGCTCCGGATACCCTCCAGCTTGCAAACACTAAGACCCAATAATCCCAGCCATACAGGGCCCCATGGCAAGGCATCAAAAGTGGCAAGGAACATGGACAGTGGGCTGTCTCCACCAAAGCCACAGTGTCCACCAGCCTGTGGACTGCTGGGGAAGATGTGTCACACACTAGAAATAAGCCACCATGGTTCCAACAGTGAACTTCACCACTGCTGAGGCCTTCTTAGGCCTGCAAGGACTTCAGGCCTCTGTGGCAAATCCCACGCACATGGAACTGCATGTGGAGTAGACCACTAACCCTCATGTGGGCTCCAGCCACTGGGACTGCTGGAACCTCTGCTCTCCTGCTTGTGTTCTGAGCTAATGCCTCCTGTTTAGCCAGGGGCCCCAACCATTTCTTCCAAGGATACCCACCTGTACCACCTGGTGTGGTGACCTATGTTCTGTGGGGCTCCTGGTCTCTTTTACATGGCGTGGATGGGCCCATTTCACCAGGGTGCCAAACCTTCCTCCACGCTTGGTCCTCTTGTGTGCCACCCCTACTCCAGCCCACCTGTGCAGGGATGAGGATGCTTCTGCAGCCCTCCCCCCCTCCCCCATGGTTGTGGCACAGGTAATGCTACTTTTAGTGAAGTGAGAGTACCTTTACCAGTTCCTTGGGAATACAAGGCAAGATTCCAAAATCGGGCCAGCTTGACCAGGGGTCATACCCACGACCCAGTGGGAAGGGGCCTGAGCCAAAAGGAGGCTCTGTGTCACAGTAACCTCCGCAGATGTGCACACTTGAGAGGAGCAGCTGCTCCAGCACATGCTCTATGCAGGCCTAGGCTTGCCTCCCTCCTGGCTAACCAAGATGCCAGGTTCCCTCTGACTGTTGACTGTCAGCTCAATTCACCCATTTTCTGCACATACTCTATGTGTGTCACTTTGACCAGTTTATCAGAATTTCCCTCCAGAGCTCCTGGGAACCACACCCTGATCATCCCAACATGGCTCATTATCTTAAGACTCTGCTCTTTACTTATTTTGAGTCAGGGTCTCTCTATGTTGCCCAGGCTGGTTCCAATTCCTGGGCCCACATGATCTTCCTTTAGGCTTTCTTACTAGCTGGGATGACAGGCATGTGCAATGACTTATACCTCCCCTACTTCTTAACCACTTTCAAACCAAAGCCACATTTATCCTATTCATCGCTTACGGCATGGTCACTGTATGGAAATGGATCAGTATCCCCCGAATCCTGAATATATGCAGTCAACTGCCCTCTAGCTGTGATGGGAGAAAGCAATGGTGGGGCTTGGAATGGCTAAGCCTTTCCAAAGCCAGGAGCGCCAGGTTTCCCTTTGCTCCTGTGACAATTTCCTTTCTTTTCTTTTTTTAAGCACATATTTTTATTTGGTAGTATAGAGGTGATGGATAAAGGGGTTACAGTTACATAAATCAGGTAATAAGCACATTTCTTTTTGGACAATGTCACCTCTTTGCGTGCTGCCTCCCAGCTTTACCCTCCCTTCCACACCCACAAGTTTATAGTTCATTTTCAATATAGTGTCTAATGACTACCACTGCTGCATTTCCTCCCTATAGTCCCTCCATTTCTGTGCCTCTTTACCCTTCCAAAGACAAATAAACATGACAAAAAGAAAAGAAAAAACATGAGGAAAAATTCTCTGATTTCCTTTTCCTGGAGTTCATTTCGATAAATATTGTTTTATATGATCATAGGCACATAGGCATTTCACCAGTATGCTCTTCCCCTAAGAGGATCCTCCTCTGATCTCACTATGTGTGAATGCCTAGCTTCTCGTATAATTCATCATGCCTATGTACTTTAGATCTAGGTCATGCATCTGTCTGATAATCTCTGGGTAAACTTTGTCATGTTTATAGTCAGAATTCCCATCAGTTCCTAGTTTCCATATAGTAAAATGAACAAGCCTAAACTTGATTCCACGCTGGTGACCTGTAATCCTGTAAATTATAACCAGTTCACTAACCAAACCATGACACACACTGCAGTTCACAGCCCTTACTTTCTTCTTGACTTCAGCATAGGGAGTCAGGAGAGGGAGAGGATAAACTCAGATGATAAAATTACAACCCAAAGGAACACTTGAGTCTGCCCCCCCCCCCCCCCATGATCTTGTACATGCTGCCAGGCAGTGAGTAGCACAATCTAGTAATAAGCTCCCTCATACACAATCTGGTGACCCCAAGGCAGGAGAAAGCCCAAAGAGTGAGTTCTGCTCACCTCCTTGCAGAAAGAGAAACACAGAACAACCCCCTCCTCCAGTCCCAGAGACCCCTCTGCATGCTGCAAAAAAAGAAACAAAACAAAACAAAAAAACGGTCCCACCCTCATCTCACTGCACTGATAACCAGAGTCTCCAGTTTGTGGAAGTCCAGATCTTCCAGTGATGGTACCTGGCCTGGAACTCTGTTGCTGAATTCCCAGACTCTCTGTCTGAATGCCTGTAGTCTAGCAGCCCAGGACAAGCACTGATCCACCAGGGGGCCAGCAATGGATGGCCAGTAGACAAGGCTTCTCTTCTTCTCTTTTTCTGAGCTATCTGCTTCAGAATGTGAGTCACAAGGGGAGGGGTGAGCTGGTGAGTCTCTGTTCTTGAACACCAATGCAGGCTGTGCAGTCATCTTTCTGTCCCTAAGGCTCTCACAGGCTCTAAGACCATTGGTGTATCTCCATCTGGGCAGGAGGGAAATGGACTTACTGACAGGAGCAGAATAGGAATGACATCTGGACAAAGCCTCCCTCAAAACCATGAGAATCTAGTCTACTGCAAAAACTCAAAGAGATTTTAGAAGATCACACTAAAGATCAGCTCTGCTTTATTTACAGGTGGCCAATTACTGCCTCAGAGACATTTCTGAATGAACTCAGAAAACTTTTGTGAGGTCAAGGCCACTCTGAACAGACAATAGTCACATGACCTACTGAAGAGAAGCCACCTTATAGAATACTGGAGCAAAGAGTGGGGTCCCAAAGGACTTAAATTCGGGGCCTGGGCACTGGCCCTGAGCTTTTTATGGTCAAAGCTAGTACTCTACCACTTTGAGTCACAACTCCACTTCTGGTTTTTAGGTAGTTATTTGGAGAAAAGAGTTTGAAGGCTTTTCTTGCTTGGTCTGGCATCAAACTGCAATCCTCAGCTCTTAGCCTTCTGAGTCAGCACTGGACTTATCTGTTGACTAGATTATCTAACCTCTCTAAGAAAGAACACTTAGGAAAATTAATTCTCGTAGGCAGGTACTGTGCTCACAGCTCTAATTCCAGCTAGTTAGGAGGCAGTGCTCTGGAGGATTATGGTTGGAGGCCAAGCTGGGCAACATGTTGGGGAGACTTAATACTCACAAATAGCATTCCAGCTATTCAGGAAGCATAAATATGAGGGCTATGGTCCAGGTTGGTCTGGGTAAAAATATGAGACTCTCTCTGAAAAATAACTAGCTTTAAATAAAGGGCATGGAAATGGCTCAAGTAGAAAAGTGCCAACCTTCCTGTTTTAATGGATATTAAAATATAAATCCTTTCCAGGCACCTATGACAGAATACAAGCTAATATTTTTTTGGTAAAAGTCTTCTGTTAAGAGACAGGAAGCTAGGCACTACTGGCTCACAACTGTAATCCTGCTACTCAGGAGATTGAGATATAAGACTCTTAGTTCCAAGCCAGCCCTGGTAAATGAATTCAAAATCCTTTCCAGTTAGCCACCAAAAATCCAGAAGTAGAGCGGTGGTTCTAGTGGCAGTATGTCTTCTGGTAACTCCCAACCATTACACCATGGTTCTGAGTGGCCAAGATGGGTGCTGTTTACTATGGTAAATTATGGAGTTATATCTGAGCTATCTTAAACACAGGAACTATAGGTAACAGTTAGGGTTTCAAAAAATGCTTCTCACTTTTCTGTTTCTACCTATTCATGGAGAGTTTGCAGCTTTTATTAATATCACAGGAGAGTGCAGAGGCAGATAACTGTTCTGGTCTCTCCCTGTTCTTGTAATTTAACATTTAGAAGGAGGTGGTTGAGGGAAGCCAAATGCTTTCTCTCTTTCCGTTTCTCTTCTCTCTCTCTCTTTTATTTTTAAAAATGTACA